TGGGGGGGGGGGGGGGGGGGTAATTTAGCGGCATGTAATCTAGTAACACAATTGGATGCAAGTGGTATAATGTCCCAGCGCAATTTTGTTTTCTCTTTTATAAGAAACCAATTTTTCAATAAGACGAAAGATTATCTCAACTAATCTTTATAATAATAAGAAGAACTAATCAATTTTGTGACTTGAAAGAGTATCATATTATATTTTAATATAATTGCGGTGAATTATACAAAATAAAAAGAAATTTATACTTTTTGTCTGCATTTGTTAAGGTTAAATGTTCTTTATTTTATGTTTTCATTTAGTAACTTCATCTTAAATTTTCATACATTTCTCATGGTTGAACTTTAAATGTTTTACGTTAATATCTTATCTATCCGCTCTGATTAGGATTTTTGGCTCCGCCCTTGAGGGATGAGCTGTAAATCAAAGAAACAAGGAATGTACGATAAAATAAATGAACGTGAATGTACGATATTATATAAAATAATAGATAGCAATCATTCAACAAGAATGTGCTATATTTTATAGGTAATGTACATCATGTAACACTATCATTAGGTGTGTCATAACACTGAAGGAGAAAGTCAGTGTGACGCCCTAAAATTCGGGGATCCGTTGATTACCCATCAACCAGCGGAATACCCGTGGATACCGAGTAACTCGGTATCACACCATTATGCCTCACTTACCGGGGTCCATAATTTAACAAAAATTTGTGCAGAGTCTCATTTGTACGAGAAACCCTACCCAAAACACAATCTGTGTAATTATACAAGTATTTGACCCATCCAAGACCCAATATAAAACACTGACCACACATGGTTCATTTATACATACTTTTGACGCCCCTAAAACCAAGGTTCCTATGTCAATGTATGTAATGTGACATGACGTGTAAAAGTGTGACATTGTCATGTACCACTGTGACCTGTAAACCCATCACACCTCTGCATCAAACATAATTAATATAAGTTCAAATTTCAATCTTTTTACATACATTATATGTCAAAACTAAATTACAAGTCTAGTTTTACAAAAAATAGATTTAAAAGCCACAAGTCGGTTTTTCTTCAACCATGGGCCCCCGATTGTGAGCCGTCTGCCAACGCATAACCCACACCTGAAATATTTTCCCGTATAGGGTGAGCCACGCTCAATAGAGTTTCTCCTATATAGACTACTCCCCAACCTAAGTGCATATGAAATATGCACATGCAACAATCCACAATCAATATCTATGTCAACAAGAACATGTAATTCAATGTAAAAATTCTATCATGTCATGTCATGATATGAGATAATACTCACTCATGCATTTTAACCCGAGTCTTCACCGACTCTCACAACACAATGCAATGTAAATGTGTAAAATATTTGTCATTGATGAAATACATCCAATGGTCATATTTGAAATACAAGTCATTGTATTTATAAAATTAATTCATTGTTGGATGTTTCCCATCGAATGAATAATTTATAAAACAAGTATTTTTTTTTGAATTTCACCTCAAGGGAGTTTACGAACCAAGTATTTTTATAAACAAAATCATGTGTCTTTGTTGGGTAGCGGAGTTTTGGAATCGCACCGCAAATTCCGCAAACCAATACACTTTTTCAGAATTTCACCTCAGGGGAATGTATGAACCAAGTAGCCGGGTCTTGCACCCGAGGGAGAGTCTAGCCCTTCTTGCTATACCCGACACAAATTTTTCGTGCAACCATGCGACTCCACAGGATTTTTGATCCAACCTTCCCGAGTCCACTTATCAACCACCAAGAATGGTGTTTTATCAACCATATACACACACCCACACCCACACCCATGCCTCATGCCCATAAATGTGATGTCAATTTCATGCCCAAAATACAATAAATATCAAATGAGCAATTAAACCACATACTTCAACATATGTCATGGTAATTTATATCTATTGCATATACTTACCACAATTTAACATGATGCTAATTTATTAACAACTTATATCAACTCATTCCTTCGATCACCATTTTCTCAAGCATGTCATACATAAATTATGCTACAACAAACTTAATTCTCACATAGGCACTTAGTAAAATACCTTCAAGGCACAAATCATGTTATCACAT